CCCCAAAACCCCAAAACCCCTTCCTTTGAAATACTGTAAATTTGAAGGGAAAAAATAATTTTATAAAGATAAAATGCACTCTAAATTCGATATAGATTGAATTAAATTTATGAATTAATTAGAAATAACTATTCTAACTTTCATTAATTATTTGGTCTATTGCTTTTTAATTTCATTAGTACTAATCAAAAAGTTTATTTTATTGAGATTAGTGCATTTAGTATTAAGGGTTATAAGATTATGGATATATACTTTATTCCAAGCTGAGAAAATTATGCTAGTGATTCAGTTATGGGTTGTAATAAGTAAGCTATTAATTAGTTCCATGTGATTATGGCTTTTAATTAGACTTGATTTGGTCAAATGTTTGAGAGATTTACCTAATGTCAATATTGTAAAGTTTCTCAAGATTCTAGAGTTTCTTCTCAAACGACTCGTCTTCATTATCTTATGCTTTTTCTAAATTAGTCGGGTTCTAAGTAATTTAATTTTAGTTTGTCAAGTAGCTATTAGATGATGCATATTAATTATTATGATTGGGCTGTTACTAATTTAATAACCCATTGAGAGTTTGATCAAAGCTATTTCGAGTTGCTTGACTCATTTGCAACTAATTTTCAGTCAAGATCTTTTTGTTCTGTTGTTATTACAAAAATATTTGATTTTCAATGTTATCTGAAACCTCAGTTTGAGTTTCTTCTAATTCTGGCTCCTAGATAGATGCTAGCATTTATTATTAAGCTACGAATTCATCTCTGACTCTGCTCTTTACCTCAAGTGCCATAGAGTTCAAGTCTTTTTTAGTTGTGTTATTTTGCTGCAGAATTTATGTTTAAAAAGCTTAAATCATTTCAATGGGGTCAACAGGACTTATAATGAGTTCTTCGCTGTTATCTCTTATTGCTTGAATGTTCTAGTTCTGAATAATTGGAGTTGGGATTTTATTTGGGAAAGGAGGTGGTAATTGGAAAGGTAAATACTAAGGAGTATTCATTTGTTATTAAGCAACTCCCAATTCAGATCTTGTGGGACTACTCGAATTACTCTGGCCTGGTAATTTATTTTTTAGGTAATCTGTATTGTAGTTATGAGCTCCACGCATGTGAGAATATTACTAGCTTTTTTACTTGAAAAATTTGCCACAACCAGGCATCAAGCAGGGAAAAGGCTTCTCCCCAGTGTGAACTCTCATATGATTATCCATTGCATGCTGAGATTGGCATTTTCTGGAGCAAATGTCGCAACTAAATTTACCTTTGCCTACTTAATCTCTTGTTCTTTTTGTTGGTGTTTTCTGCAAGAATTTGTAAGGCTGTGCTGGTGGCAAGTAGAATTACATTTTACTCTTCTGATTGAATTTTAAAATGAATTGATAATGTGTGCAACAATTTTGAACAATACTTAAAATCGAAACAATTTAAATCTTAAAAGTTTGGATGAGACTTGAATTAATTTTATTTCTTAATTT